TACACACACACACACACACACACACACACACAGGAAAGAGAGAGGAAGAAGAGGACAGAGGAGGGTGGCACATACCCTGAGGAGTAACGACAGAAATGTTAAATCTGGAATATAATGAGGCTCCCTTAGTTTCTTTGGGCAATGATGGTTTTATCAATGAAATATGCTTGAGAACAGTACAATGACCAAGAAGGGACACGCTTGTGCTAGGAACTTTTGGGGCAATGTTGATGATCACGTGAGTAAATTATGTACCCCAGAAAGGCAAGTTAAAGTTCTAACCCCTAGTTCCTCAGCATGGACTTTACTTGGAACTAGAGACACAGCAGAGGAAAATAGTTAAAATAGGGTCCTACTACAGAGGAGAGAAAGGCACAGCGGGAGAGAAGGCCACAAGGTTGACAGCCACCACCAGATGCTAGGAAGAGGTAAGAAAAGAGTCCGCCCACACTCCCAGAAGAAGCCTGGCTCTGTTCATATTTACTTTGCACCTCCAGCCAACAGAAGTGTGGGACAATAGGTTTTTGTTGTTATAAGTCACCTGTGGGTGCCTCTTGATAGTGGCAGCCCTTGGAATGATAGAACCAGTGCCTGTTAACATGGTGACACCTCTTTTTTTGTTGTTGTTAATTTTGTTTTCTTATTAGTACATGTTTGCAATTCACGCAGTTTACAATCATCTTGGGGAGTTGTTTCATGTATATACTACAGCTGTTTTTTTCTAATTCCCTTCCCTCCCTCTCCTGCTCCTGCTCCAGTTCGTCTATCAGTTTTTTTGAATTTATTGATATTATTTGTCTTAGCTCATGTTATGGCATATAGCGTTTACATTGATTGGAGTTATTATGATCCTGTACATGACACATCTTTATTCCTCTCATTTCCCCTTCACCTCCTCATCACACCTTGTCCTTGTTTCTTTGGACCACTTCCCTGTCCATACTTTTGTCCCTTTCTAGCCATCCTATATCATTTTCTTTGTTTGTACTTTGCCTCAATCAAATGTTGATGATCAATCAAATGAGAGATATCATAGGTGTTTAAGCTTGTGTGTCTGATTTATTTCACTCAAGATTATATTTTCCAGGTACATCCATTTTCCTACAAATGCCTCAAATTTGTCATTCTTTATAGCCATGTAGTATTCCATTATATATAGATACCACATTTTGTTTATCCAATCATCAGTTGATGGGTATACAGGCTGCTTCCAGGATTTAGCTAGTGTGAATTATGCTGCTATAAACATTGGTAATGGTGACTTAAGCTCTTTGGGGAAGATATTTAGCAGAGGAAGAGCTGGGTTGTATGGAATTTCTAATTTCAATTCTTTGAGAAATCTCCATACTGATTTCCATATGGTTGTACTTGTTTACATTCCTACCAGCAATGCAGGAGGGTTTCTTTTTGCCACAACCACATCAGCATTTGCTATTGTTTGATTTCCTAATGATTGCCATTCTTTCTGGAGTAAGATGGGATCTTAGCAATGCTTTAATTTGCATTTCTCTAATGGCCAGAGATATTGAACATTTTTGCATATATTTGTTAGCCATTTGTATTTCTCCCTCTGTGAAGTGTCTGTTCATTTCTCTTGCCCATTTCTTGACTGGGTCTTTAATTTTAGGTGGTTTAATTTTTTGAATTCTTACCCACCCTCTCCTTGGTCACCAGAGAGAGAGATCCTTATAAGTCTCATAGTCCTCACATTTTCCCTTGGGAAGACCAAATCTCTGCTTATGTCATGTACTTGTGTCAGAATATGGTACCAGTTGCTTTGCTTATTATTTTGCACAGCTTTGGCTTAGGTTGAATTTTCCTCTCAGCAACAAAACCAACAAGCTTGCCACTGAACTCCTAAATTCATGGATTCGCTGGACTGAATCTCCTGGAAAGTTTCCAGCTAAGGAAGAAGAAACATCTTTTTTCTGAGTATCACCAATGTCAGTTGCTTTGGCTGTTGCGATACTGATTTAGTTAAGCCTTGAGGTCAAAGGTTAACTCCAACTCCAGGAATGCCTGAGAAATGCCAGATTGGAATGATTCCATCTTCCTGTCTTCCCGCAATTGGGTTTCACATCTTCATATTTAAGCTGAATATGGTCTTTTCTCTTTCCTAAGTAGCAGTCTAGAAAAAGGTGACTGACAGAACCTCATTTCTTTCTTTAAGAGAGTTTTATACCTAGAAAACTGTGGATAAAATGGTGCTTGAAATTATCCAGGTACTTAACATATTCTTGTGCCTAAACTGAAAATGGTATGAAAAAGGAAAATTCAATAGATTAATGTTTGTTGAATAGCATGCTGATGAGTGGAGCTATGTCAACCTGAAAGGTGGCTTCTATTTTTACGATGTGGGAATCTGTCAAGTGTCAAATTATGGATTCAATTTATCTTAGTAATTGAGAAGAAGGTATAGAAAGCATGCAGAGTAAATTTGTCCATAGAAAGACAGCACATAATATTAGGAAAAAATCAGAAAAATATCTTGACTTACATATCTTCCAATCACCATTGGAAATCACCATTGGTGCCATTTATGTATTAATAACAGAGAGGGGGACAAGTGCTGCTAGTGACACTGGGAAAAGAGTCAACTAAATTGCTAACTCCTACAAATGAGAAAGACAGTGAAAGAATTTGGTGTTCACAATGCAAAACAGGAAGACAGGCTGGTGAGAATCCCTGTGTACCTCTAACTGAAGGATACAGAAAGCAAAGCAGGCTGAAGAAACTCACTGTGAGGGATTATGGCATTATAATTAGAGTGCAGATAAATTTAACTAAGACATTTAGGGCACCAATGATCATAATACCTCTTTTACCTACTTTACAAAGGAAAAACTTAATGACCTAAAACACCATATATTTATTACTTCACAGTGTCTGTGGGTCAGGAATCCAAGGTAGGCTTAGCCAGCGTCTGGCTCAGGGTCTCTCACTACAAAGTGTGGGTGGGGTCTGTATCATCTCAAGCCTCACATGGGGCAGGATCCAGGTCCATGTTCATTTCTAGGTGCAGAATTCAGTTGTTCATGGGCTGTTGGACTGAGGGCCTCTGAGGTTCCTTGCTGGCTGGTGGCTGAACACCTTCCTTGGTCCCATGCTACACTGCCAATAGGGTGGCTGGCTTCCCTCAGCAAGCAAAAGAGGAAGAGACAACAAGCACTTCAGGAGTAAGAACCCTTTTGATGTCCCCTCCCTTTTGAAATAGCCTCTTTGTTTGAAGGAAGCCCTCAAGACTAGCCCCACTCAAGAGTCGGACTTACCCAAGGGTGCTGACTCAGGAAGTGGGGTCATTAGTGGCTGTCTTAGAAGCTGCCTCTCACATGGACATAAGCAGGATCTGATTTCGGTAAAAGCAGAAATGTTTGATAGATAAATATTTGCATTGTCATATTAAAGAGAAAGTATATATTTCTAACCTCCCTTGCTTGTGTTGAATACTATTTTTTAAAAATTGGCTCTTAAGAGTTGAAAGGTTATCTAGGGAAAGGACATGGTAAAGGAGGTCAACAGGTTGGAAAAGAAAAACCAACAACGTACAAGAAAAGTGAGAAAACTATTATTTATGGAAGGTGATACCCATCAGCTAGAGTTTCTATTTAAGCATTAAAATAATCTCCAAAAGGCTCCATGTGGACAAATGGAGTAATTTACATGGTAAACTGCTGCTTAAAGACAACAAAAAGTTCTAAGATATTTGACTCTTTCCACTGCCAAAAATTACTTGTCAAAGGGACGAAGCAATTCCTGGTACCTGAATATGCCATTTTGCGAAACATCTAGAGCTGATTGGCAATAGCTCCTTTATATTTAAGGTGGACAAACTATATTTCAAGGACTGGTTCTTTAAAAGGAGGCATCAATAAAGAAGGCAGAAAAAAAAATCACTTTTTTTTTTTTTTTTTTTTTTTTTAAGAAAAAGTCCTCTCTTCTTTAATTTAGGCAGGTGGCTCCTCTTCATCACACATTGCCCTGCTGGGTACACCTTCTTGCTGGTCACCAAAATACCGGCTCCTCTCTAAATCTTATTTCACTCAGATGTTGCTCAAATGTCACTTGCTCCGAAAGAACCTCTCTAACCAATATCTGAAACAGCATCAACCAGCCTTTTATCCTTTTATTTTTTTTGACAGCAATTATCACTTTCCTAAATTACATCGGGTATTTACTTATCGGTTTTGCCTGACTTTCTACTAGGATAAAGCTCTGCGAATTGAAGAATCTCAGCCCCTGGCTCTAGTACCTGAAAAAGCACCGTATTGGCTCTTATCAGTAATGTTATGAAGTGAATAAAAGAAAAACAAACTACAAAACAAAACAAAACAAAACCAGACCCCCGGAATAAGCGAATCCCATAAGAAACATGCTAGAAGAGGAGAAACAGAAAATAGGCAAAAGCTATGAAGAACAAATAATGCTCATTTGCTAGAACTGTGATAATACGCATTCATGCACAGGGGTAATATTCATATTTTGCATAAATGTAATTCATTTTCTAAAAATCCCGAGTGACTCAAATGAACTAAACTACTTGGAAATACTCTGGACAGCACTTAAGCCTGTTCCTTTTTTTTGTACGGAAATTCTGCAGCACAGCAACTCTCACAACCCTTTCCAGTGCAGGAGCTAATTTCTGGGGATTCTCAGGGAGGAGACTGAGCGCTCCCTCCCTCTTTTATAAAATGTATTCTTGTCTCTATTTGATTGGCTGTACCTCCTAGGCTCGCCTCTTTTATTAGTCTACCTCCCCGTCCATCACTTCCGGACTCAAGAACACTACTGGTCCGCTGTCGCAGACCTCCGACAGCTGGCTGTGCTCAGGCAGGAGGAGTTCCCCGGTGACGACAAAGATACTCCCGGCCCACATTCCAAAGCCTGGGCGGAGACTTCCCTCGGTTTTGCCTTTGTAGGCGGGACAGAGTGAAGAGACAGACTTCTGATTGGGTGTGGCAGGCGAGGAGGATGTCCGATTGGCTACTGCTCTGTAGGGAGGTGGGGTCGTATCTGGGAGTCGCAAAGTTTCTGTCTGGAGCGGTAGTGGAAAGCGAGCTTCTGGCGAAGGGATTTTCTTGGGGTGTGAGCTTATTTCTCGCCTCTGGTTTGGATGAACATCCCTGCTTAACCCCTGCACCCTCCGATCCGAGCCCTGGACTGTTTGTGTCTCCGGGATCCCTAGATCTCCGAGGACCCCAGCCAGGGGAGCGGACGTGTCCCTGCCCAGTACACAAGCCCCACGCTCACGCACACGCACGCACACGCGCGAGGAGATCTCGCCGATCCCCTCAGACCTCTGCATCCTCGGCCCGGCCGGCTCCGAGCTCCATGGAGGTGCTGGAGAGCGGCGAGCCCGGCGTCCTGCAGTGGGACCGCAAGCTGAGTGAGCTGTCAGAGCCGGGCGACGGCGAGGCCCTGCTGTACCACACGGTGAGCACGCGGGCGGGGTCCCGGAGCTGTTGCAGCCTGCGACCTGGGCCGCGGCGTCTCCAGAGGGCAGGGCCACAGTCCAGAAGCCGGGGCGAGGGGCTGTTTGTCCACCTGAGCAGAGGAAGGGGGCAGCCGGCCCTCTGAAACTTTCCTGAGAATCACGACGACGCTCTGTATTTCTTTAGCAGTTTATCGACCCCCACCCCACCCCACCCCCACCCCGCCCCAGGCCTTTCACATCTGGAATACCATTTCCGATTGCCCACGGTACTGACTTGTAGAGGAGGGACTGTGTTGGAGAGAGACATGTCGCCACCTACTTTCCTATTGATTTTTATGGGAAGGTTTAAAAAAATCTGGAGAAGCCAAAGTAGCATTTCCTTTCCATCTGTCTCGCACTCCCCTGCAACTTTGCTTTATTTATATATTTAAGAGTGCACACGTGCGTGCCTGAGTTGAAAACCCTGCTCCATCTTAGGAAGAAGAACACTTCATTTGGCTTCTTAGAATATACAGCCTAGAAATCTGCTTCCTCCCTGCTCAGAGGAAAGGGTGGCAGAGGAGTCTGGAAACTGTGAAGTAGTTCCAGATTTCAGGAAGGCTTGGGGGAAGGTAGGACAGCTCACCAGGTCCTTGCCGGGCTGTGCCTCAGAGACTTCTTAGGAGATTTTCCTGTCATCGAGCATTGCACATTTCTTTTAAAGTTTTCGATTTCAACTTTTTGGGATTAAATTTGCGAAATGAAATTTTGTTTTCAGCAGCCAGCAGTGATAAGACAACTTTGTTCTCGATCTCGTTTGTGTCTTTGGACGTTTGTAGTGAGAGAGGAGAGAAGACGTTGATGAGAAAAGGAGAGGCTTGGTGCTTTCCCTTCACGGTTCTGTTCTTGGGGTCAGTGCCAGGATATTTGAAACTTTTGCAAAATGGCCTGCACGCTCCACCTCTTTGGCCTTTGCCTCTGGCTTACGTTATTTTGGGAAAAGGGTTGAGTGTCTCCCTGCCGATCCTACTAAAGGGTTTGTGGTGGCTGAGGGAGGCTTGTTTAAAAATTGCATAGTACAGGGATGAGAAGGAGTGGTAGTTCAAGCGGGAGCAAAAGCCAGATGTTCGGTGTGATTGTCTAGGCTTTGCCCAGTGAGCCTGTCCCGAGGAGACCACGTGGCCTGAGTTTGGTTTGGGAGCCCAGATGTGATTCCTATCTTCTGTAAAGAACTTGGAGCATATTTCAGATTATTTCCTGCTTGAGATATTTCTACTGCGTGAGCTACATTTTAACCATGCGTGGAAAGGTAGTTCTTCTCTATTGTTCTTAAACATACAGTCCCAATGCCACAGCTCTGGGGTTATCTTTCAGCTAATGGTATGAAACAGGGACAGGCATCTTCACTGCTGTTCCTGGACCCTGTGGTTTGCATTGTGAAGTTTGAGGCACTACCTGTAACTCCAGGACCAGCAGCTTGGCCCTAAGGGACATCTTTATATGCAGTTTCAGGGCCAGAGACCTTACATTCCTTTGACATTAACAGCTCAGGTTTTCCATGTCATTTGGTAAAGCAATGATGTGGGATTCTTTTTCTTCTAATCGTCTTTTAAAATTTTTTTGTTTAAATTTAATTTTTTTTAAATTTTGAGACTGTCTTGCTAAGTTGCCCAAGCTGGGCTTGAACTTGCAATCCTCCTGCCTCAGCCTACCAGAGTGCTGAGATTACAGGCATGTGGCCTTATGTCTGGTTGCCGCTCCCTCTTTGTGGGAGTTGGGTACTGGGGATTGAATACAGGGTTTACACACTGAGCTACATTCCTAACCCTTTTTATATTGAGTCAGGGTCTTGCTAAGTTGTTAAGTTCCATGGGCTGGGCTTGAATTTAAGATTCTTCTGCATCAGCCTCCTAGAGTGCTTTTTTTTTTTTTTTAAAGACTATTCTCCGCTTAGAGAAGTGTGTTGCTTCTGAACAGCTCACTCATATAAAGTGAAACTCATCACTGTTGCAAGTCAGCGCAACAAACTGTGTATATGAATTAGTGTTGAAAGAGGTATTGGATTGAGTGGCACAGACAGTTGGATTATATTCCTTTGAACTAAGGAGGGTTTGGTAGAGATTTGAAAATGGACAATTTCTCATCCATTTCTTGAACTCTTTTGGGCATTCAGGTGCAGAGCTGGTTTTTATTGCAATTTTCCCATCACATGGGGTGGCCAGATCTCCAGCTAAATCTCGACATGAAGAAGGGTGGCCATATTCAATTATGCACCCATTCTTGTAATGAATGTTTACTGGATGTCTTCTATGTGCCAACACTATTCTAAGCACATCTATGAACAAAGGCAGACAAAAATTCCTGACCTTAAGAAGCTTACATTCTTGCGTGTGTGTGTGTGTGTGTGTGTGTGTGTGCATATATAGGGTAAATGATAAATATAACAAGTAATATGTGAGACAGTATAAGTGTTATGGAAAAAGTAAAAGTTGAACAAGTAGATGATATACATAATAGAGAAGTAATTGATATAATATGTTACACAATATAAGTACTTGGGAAGAAGTAAACAGACTAGGGTAATGAGGATAGAGAATTCTTGGGGATGGGAGGGGAAAATATGGTATTGAGTGAGAGAGAAAAGGAAGCCTCCCACACAAAGATTTGAAGGAGGGGAGAGTTGTTAGCTTAGCTAGATGGAAAGCAGAACAGAGGTGCAAAGGTGAGGCGTGTTTGGCAGGAGCCCGTAGCTGCACTGTCTTCTATTACAGAGTCCCCCAGTTCTGTGAGTTCTTCTCCCTGTAAATCCAGGTTTCCTCTGGACACTGTTGCCTGTTCTTGGAATGATGCAGTGAAACATTGTACTTTGAGTGGACTGGCTGTTGTCCAGGGAGAGAAGACAGATGCAAGTTGGGACAGTGTTAAGAGCTGATGATGGCTACCACCTGTGGGATGCTTTGCTACCCAACGAGGGGGCCGTCTGCCCCGCAGAGCCCCACCTTTGGTTGGAGGCTTTGCTATCACCATCTTGAAGTTTTTAATACTTTTTAAAGCGAGAGTCCTGCATTTTGCATTGGGGTTTTGCAGAAAGACATTGTGTTTAGTGCTTTCCAAAAAGGGAGCCGTTTATCCCTCTTCATGACACAGTGAGGGAGCCACTTTTTATTAGTCTCAGTTTGCACACAGTAAAACCAAGGCTTCATGAATATAAGCAATTTTGATTAGCCCCACAGCTAATTGTTGACACAGCCATGATTCAAACCCAGGTCTGTCTGCCTCCAAATACCACTTTCTTGTCTGTCATGCTTTACGAATGAGGAATCCTGACTTAAAGATCGGCAAATAGGAATGAGATGACTGTGGTTCAAAAACCACTGAGCCCCCAAACAGCTAATGTTTAACTGGAGCTGACTGGCAGCCACCAAGCCTTCTTAATGTGATCACTCTTGTTGTTCTGAATAGGAACTTAGTTACCACTCGCATAGCCAAACGATCTGTTGTAGCAAACCTGTCACATACGTGATTTTAAAAATTTGAAATGTTCAAGTTGCCTAAGGCTGGGATTATCACATTTCTCTGCACCTTCTGTGAGCCATGGAAAACAGTGTTTTTCTCATTTGGTTAGTTTAGAAGACTTTGGTCCTTGAGGACAAAGGCTTAGAGGAGAAAGATTTAAAGTCTACAATATAATGAAGCACGTGGATGGGGGAGTATGGAGTTGCTCATTAGATCCGAACTGCTAAAGATGTGGGTTTCCTCTTGAAGCCTGAAAAAGTTTTCAGGGCTGGGGGGTTGAGGGGAGCCCAGAGCTAGACAGTGTGCTTCGCATACTCAGAAACCCTGAGCTCAGTCCCCAGCTTCCCAGACACAGACACAGAAAGAGTTTCTGTTCGGAAGATGGAATATTATTTTAATTCAGTCAGCGGTGCTTTAAGAACACTATTGCTTCCAGACCAGATATAGTCCAAAAGTATATTCAGAAAAGACAGCAGATCTGAAAATAAGGAGTATGTTGTCAGTGTTTAATGTTATTATAAGGGACTTGCTTCTTTCTGCAAAGCTGCCTGGATGTTGGACATTTCTAACATCTGTGTTGCATTTCTCTAAGATTCTGTGCAAATTACACTTGTGAAAATTCTCTATGAGGTTGTGCAAATTGAAGAGCAAAATAATCCGTCTATTTTATCTATGTACATCGTACATGCACAGACTGTCTGGAGGGTGCTCGAGAAATGGGTAACTTTCTGGAGGGGACTTGGGGGCTGGAGGTCAGGAGAGGAAGGAGGCTCAGCAACACACCAACCCCTTGGTACTGTTTAAATTTTTATCTCCTGGATGTGTTTAGGAAATGAAGGTTTACATCTTAAGGGCACCATCTAAGACTGGTTAGAGATGATTTTTATCTGAGTGTCCTTGGGGCCAGAGAGGGCTTTGGGGCTATATTAGAGCTCAGTACCACTCAAGTGGCCACCAGCCTTGAATGAAAACTGGGGGAGGTGGGCATGCTGGGTAGAAAGGGGCTCTTGGGGTGGAGGCTGACAGAGGGCTTTGTACGATAAACTTTGAGAACTTGGTAACTTTCTTTCTTATCCTACCCTGTTTGGCCATTTGGAAGATAAAGTACTTTATCAAATTTTGCAATGATTATGTCTTTCTTAAAAAGTATGTAATAGGAAATAGTCTTTGCAAAGATAATAATAATAGAAGTTCTCCTTGGTTTAAATGTTTAAAAAGCAAGTTATTTATAAAATTATTTGGTGGTTACATTAGTCAAATATCATATCTGCCCGGTTCCTGAAGTGAAGGACCAGGTCTCAGACAGTGGTAGGTGGGGAGTTCAGGGGATGTTTAACCTGCTGGTGTCCAGATGGGAAGTCTCGCACTGATTGCTGGGAAGCAGTTGGCTGACCTCACCGGCTCAGTGCTTTCCCATTCCTCCTTGTGGGCCCAGAGACTGATCGGGTTCCAGTGGGATGTTGAAACTTTGGGTTTGATGTTCCAGCTTGGGGTCATCTCCTTT